AAAAAAAAAAAAAATCAACTGTTAAGACTAGAACCTGGCATACAGTAAGCATTCAGTGAAAGTCCATTATCTGTTTTGCTGGCTTACCCAGACTGGTTGTTACTCAATATAAAGGTGATAAGACAGAGAGGACCAAGATATGGATGTGAACTTAAGGAGAAAGAACTATGAATTTGGGAGTTTGATTCTAGGCCCAAAGACTCCCTTTAGCCCAGATAAAAAGAACCCCCTACCTCATCCAGTTTAGCTTGCCAATGTAGAATAGTAGCGATAGAAAAAGACTTAAGTTCTTATTCTTTATTTTTAATTTTAAAGGGGCTAATGCTCTAACACTCTCAGAATGTTATGTGACTATGAAGGGAAGCCAATCAAAGAAAGAATTAAACATCATGGCTGCAGCTGGCCAGTTAGCTCAGTTATACCATGGTGCTTATAACACCAAGGGGTCCAGGGGTTAGTTCCCTGTACTGGCCAGCCACCAAAAAAAAAAAAAAGAAATAGAAGTACTCTGTCCTCTAGGTATTTTCCACCTTTCAAACTCTGAAACTTTATCCATACCAGCCATACAACTCATAGTTGGTTTGGTACTTACCTGAGTTACTACAATATTACACTCTGCTGCATGGTCATTCTGGATGAAGTCGTCTAGAATGAACTGGGGAACCTGTGTGGTTTTACCACAACCAGTAGCCCCTCGGATAATGACAACTGAATTTTGACTAATTGCCTCCAGGATTTCACTTTCAAATTTCTTCACGGGTAGTAACTCTCTCTCCTGTAAGATCTGTATTAGAAAAGTTACATCTCAATCAAATATCTACCAACACGTACATTAGAAGCAACTGTCTTAATCGTTTAAAAAACCCACCACCTCTATAAAAACGTATTCCTTTCCACTGGCTTAGTACTCAAAAAATTTTTTCATAAAAATGTATATTTTATATCTCTAATAAGAACTGCTTCTTTTAACTATTATTTCTGAGACTATGATGTAGTCTCTTTCTCCCTGAACATTCCACATGCATTCTCTTTCTTTTAAAATTTTAATGTTTTATTTAGAAAATACTAAAAAAACAACACAAAAAATTATTACCCCCAAATCTCTCCACTTACATTAAATTACATTAAGAAGTAAAATTCTCTCCTTGGCCCTCAACCCATAACAGCTACCCTTAAGGGTAACTAGGATTAGCAGTTTGATAGATATCTTTGATCTACTCTCCTGAAAAAGACAAAATAGGGCCGGCCCGGTGGCGCACTGGTACAGTGCGCCGCTTGGGAGCACAGCAGCGCTCCCGCCGAGGGTTCGGATCCCACATACAG